TAGAAACTACATCTAACATTTGATTCAAACAATTTACAGAAAGAGGAAGGAGGATTCAATCATCAGGTGGCAACAATGCCTTCTGTGCCTAATCCAGAAGAGGTAGTCAAAACGTGGTTGTATTATATTCCTATCATTTAGTAGTTTCCCCAGTAGGTTATTTGAATTTTGAATTTCATATTTGTTTAGCTTTTATCGATGGAAGAATTGCGAGAAAGGCGTATCATTGATCCTCGACTCCCTAGGTTAGACTCTTATCTTTTTCGAAATTGTGGAAGTGCGTTGGTTGTATTGAGTTTCAAAAGGTGGTTGATAATTTTTTTATTTCTTCACCCTCTCATCATAGCATACCTTTCAGTTTTTGCTTATTGACTTGAATGCTTTTGTGAAGGTTTTTATTGTAGATGTTATTGCCAATACCAACTGCCCAAGCATGCTACAGCTACCAAACATGGGTTACCAGGAAATGCTAAGTACTTATTTGTGATGGAATTGCAGACCCCTTCATTCTTTTGATACATTGAATAAACATTTGTTGGATGTACTTGTATTCAGAAACTGGTCCGAAAGCTTAGTTCAAGAGCAGTTCAGAAACAAAAATGAAATATTTTGTTCAAGCTATTTTTTCTTTTCTTTTCTTTTAGTGTGTGTGTGTGTGTGTTACACTTTGAAATAATAACAGAAGAAGAGGAGGGTAGTCTCTTCCTTGATATGAATAACCTTATTTATGATTCAAATGGAAAACAGATTAATCTGAAGATACCTCTCAGACATGAAAGCTTCCGGACCTAGGAAAGCTTCCATTTGATGTAGCACTTCAATGTTCATGAATAGTGTCATGACAAGAGCATGTACCACAGTTTTCTTAATATTGTGGACCCTTTCATGCTTGGCATTGCAATGATGGGTTTTGATATTGGATTTTCTACTTTGCAAGGCCCTTTTGGATGCGAATTAGGGTATGTTTGGGAGATTTTTTAAAAATCATTTTCACCAAACTCATTTTCAACCACATATTATCCAAAAATAATATTTTTTCATGTGGACTCATAACTTTTCGCTACTCCTTAACCACATATTCTCAAAAAAAAATAAATCATCTTCCACGTGGGAAAATCTCTCCCAACGAACGCTTAATGTCTAGAAATATTGACATTATGTACTAAATATTGTCTATCACTGTTTCTTTGGTGTGGGAATTGACGACTTTTATCTTTTATAATCATATGCTTTAAATCACTCGTTTTTTGTTACTTTTTCCTGTTATATTGTTTGGGACAATATACCTATTGCACATTTAGTTTTTGTCCAGATAATTTCAAATACTAAATAATGATCTGTTCAGCTCTTACGTTTAAGTTCTGTTGATTTCAAACAATAACATGTAACAGGACATACCGGAACAAGGTTGCTAGTAGGGAATATGTACCCTGGCCAATTGAGATCAGGTTCTGTGAGCCTAATACTTCCACCAATCAGACTATGTCTCCTCCGAGGTTTATTATCATTCTCTTTGTTGTCCATTGACTCCATGTAGGAGGGAATAATTGTGAAGAGTAGAAAAATGGTGGGTCTGATTGGTCGTATTTTTTTGCAAATAATCTACAGTTTAAGATATTGGTTTAGAGCGAAAGGAAAACTTTCTGATGACCAGGCTTTGCATAGGTAAGAGAATCTTCTTCAGCATCTTTATTTTCTGGCATTTCTTGTTGCTCGCAACACTAAGGAGAGTTTTTGTATATCAGTTGGTGCCTTGGAGGTTTATTGGTCTTTCAAAGAGTTCAATAACTTACGATATATACTAGCACGGTGTGATCAATTTTGTTCATTTCCCTGTTTCCAGACTATTTATTGTATTGTTATCCTGAGAAAGATCAGTTTGTTGTGTCCATCCAATCTACTCTTGGGCATACTCTCCTCATGCATTAAAAATGAAGTGATCTCTATTTATTTGAAGTACTATAATGAAATTAATTAATCCTTTAAACTTTTATTGCTTCTAGATTTGTCTATCTTGAAAATTCTTATTCCATATGGTACACTGTATGTTCATATATTGGAACTAGATATTTATTCTCTTGTTGTTATGACCTGTCACAGTAAACTCTTGAACTTTGGTAACTGGCTTTCTTCAAGTATCAAATATATAATATGCACATGCAATATTGTGAGCTTATATCAGCCTCCCACGTTCAAAAGCTTTGATATTCGAAGCTGCAGCTTCTGTTACAGAAATAATTTCGAAAAACCCAATTTAATTTTATCGGCTAGTATCTTTTAAGTAGATTTCTTTCTCTTTCACTTTCCGAGAATGAATAACATCTTTTATGTTATGATGTGGACATCTAGCAGATGTGTTGCTGCATATACTTCTGATCTCATATTTCTTCAAGTTAGCCTGAATCCTCATCGTGAAAAGGGTTTGAAGTCGTCTTCTGTCAGCCTGGATCACTCGTAAGTATCCATGTCTTCCCAGTATTTCAGATTCTTCAGTTTTCATGTTTTGTGTATGTTATATCTTTGGTAGGAATTATCTGCAATTAACAGAAGGCAACAATTTAGCACTAATCGACCAGCCTTATCGAACCCACCATGTTAGACTATGGATTGCATTTGTGTTGGAGCTCTATAAAGAGATTGTCCTAATATCATGTAAGAGCAGGATTTAGGTTATTATATCTTCCCTAAATTTGCATCAATAAATCAACTGTCAGGGCCTGTTTAGTTAGGAGGTAAAATATTCCTTGCTCATGATATTGGTATTCTGAGTTTGAACCCATATAGCTGGATTTAAATGGTCAGTTCTGCAGGTTTGATTGAGTTCTCCATTTTCTAGTTACAGATCATGCAATTAATGAATGCTGCATTGATTTGGACAGTAGAGATATGTGGACGTTGGTAGCGATCCAGAATGGAGAAGAAAAATTAGGAGAGGGAAGAGAGAATGGAAAGGAGGAGAAAGAACATAAGAAAAGATTAGAGTAAAAATTGAGTCCTTAGTTCCCTTTTATAGTATAAAGAACTGACCTTTACTACAACTTCTAATACACTACAACTTATCAAAGTATCAAAATCCTAGTAAATCAAAAGTAATCAACAAAATCCTAGTTAATCAAATTCTGTTTTAATTCCATTTCTCCTAGAATCGCCATTAGGTAGCAATAATTGTTCTCATTTCACATTAAATGGAAATGCTTAAGTGTTTAACAATGGATAGAAACTGTCGATTTCTTGTGTCGGATTTTGAGTCATTAGACCACGTCTATTAATCCCTTCTCGAGTATATGCACTTGTACTTGAAATTTCCATTCTCCTGTACAGGATGTGGTTCCACAGGCCTTTTAGGGCTGATGACTGGGTGCTATATGTGGTGAGTACCATAGATCATATTCTCTTTCATTGCCAAATTTGTATTTCAGAACTAACATTCAAATGCTCACTGTTTCATAGATTAACAGTCCCAGTGCTCATGGTGCACGTGGGTTTGTTACAGGACAAATGTTTACAAGGAAAGGAGAGGTAATTCTGCCATACTATATTCAAGCATTTTTCACGTGAAGTTCATTAGTTAATTTTTTAGCTATTAATTCTTTTAAAAATTGAGCCGAACCTAATATGTATGCCAATGATTTGCGATTGCAGCTTGTTGTATCACTGACTCAAGAGGGCTTATTGAGGAGGCCCATAACACCAGTATCTGCTGCCAAATCTAAATTGTGAAATTCCCTAGTAGTGAATTCCAAAAAGGAACATCTTGCATTCGGCAACCATTATTCAGGTTTTAGTGGTATCTTGATTTGGATTTAGTTTTCACTGGTCAACATTTTAAATAAACAGCAGCAAAACTATCTGTGGTTTAGATTCATGATCTAGGAGACGGTGAAATAAGTTGGTCGTTTCCTTTCGTATATCTTTCTATATATTAATGAACTACATTGCTTCAATAGCATTGAAATAAGCCTTCATATTGTTACACTTGGTCAAATCAGGAATGTTTTGTCGAAGCACGTCTTAAACCTTTTGGTTTGCGTGAGTGATTTTAGACACAATCTTGTCCAATCCGTTCTTCAAGTGACTAGGAATTTTTCAGGTTCAAGTGTAGAGTTTCGACTTTCTATAGTCGTTTAGATGAGGCATATTCCAAGAGAAGTGTTGTTTAGAACTCTTTATGCCTGTTGGCTGTAATTTTGCTCTGTTTTGGAACCGGAGTTGAGAGTATCTTATTACAATTTTATAGTATAAATTGGGAAGTATTTGAGTAGGCATCCGTTTCAATTCAAAGAACAATTATCCTGTAGCCCATGTGCATGAATTAATAATGATGATTATTTGTTGACTTTCAGTATTTATAAGCAGAAAAAATTCAATGGCATTGCATATGTTGCTTCTCATTACATCACAGGCTAAGCTACAAGTTACATATCAAATCGATGATTCGGCCCGTTACGGCTACGATGATCAAGAAGAACACTCTCCTAGATTGAAGAAACATGAACAAGAACAAAATATAAAGAACTTGATCAACAAGTCATTTTCCTAAATGCATGATATGGATGATTCCATTGAATGACTCGTATTTGTCCATTCCAGACTCGTATTCTTGCATTCTCTTCTAAACAAAGGCAATATAGCTTGAATTCTTCTGTTTGAGAAGTCTTTTTCTCAACTTTCTGGGTCTGGTCTCGTAGGAGAATAGAATAGAGTTCATCTGGAACCGTAGAACTTTCTGTGCTATTTGCTCCACTTCCTCCAGCTTTAACACACGTTTCTTTGTGGAACGATTTTCCAAAAACATGAACTTCCCGACTTTCCTTCGCCAATCAAGCGCGGGACGTACTACTGACCGATTCTATGATACCCATTCTGTAAAGAAAATAAAAAGTAGAAATGAAACATGGTCTAAACTTGAAATAAAGTAGGTACACAAATTTTCAATTTGCTGCGACTCTGAGACTCAAAAACCTTTCATATATACACAACGTTTTGCATGAAAGCACAAAATGGCAAACAAAGAAACGTGTGTTAAAGCTGGGGGAAGTGGGGCAAATAGCACAGAAAGTTCTACGGTTCCAGATGAACTCTATTCTATTCTCCTACGAGACCAGACTCAGAAAGTTGAGAAAAAGACTTCTCAAACAGAAGAATTCAAGCTATATTGCCTTTGTTTAGAAGAGAATGCAAGAATACGAGTCTGGAATGGACAAATACGAGTCATTCAATGGAATCATCCATATCATGCATTTACAAGGAAAATGACTTGTTGATCAAGTTCTTTATATTTTGTTCTTGTTCATGTTTCTTCAATCTAGTAATTAGTGGGAAAATGAAAGCAATTATGTTTGAGCCACATTATTTTGGAAGAATGTATTTTGGAATAGTAGACTGATGGAGAATGTGTCGTTGAAAAAGAAAGAAAAGTTATTGATGTGATGTAAAATATTATTTTATTGAAAAATGTGTGGTTGAAAATGAGTAGAAGAATGAGAATGAAAATTTTAATGTTGCTCAAACAGTGAATTTATAGTAATTTTAGAACTGCGACCTTTCGTGTGGCATTACATATAATGCATCTGTTTTTAAAATGAAGTAAATTCGCTTTAATTGATGAATTAATTTTTTTGATAAAAAAAATAGATTTCATGAATTAATAATGAGTATTAATTATTTGATTAATAATATTTTAAAAATAAAATCAATGTCAATTAAGGAGATGGACAAGGGTATTATTGACAAAAAGATAAACAAATGTGGACAAATTGAAAATCCAATGCATCCACACTTTTTTTTTTTGATACCCAGGTGTCCACCTTCGGCTACTAATTTTGGAGTCTACGTTTGGGCCCCTCAAGACACAAATCATGTAAACCGCGGGATGTATTATCCCAAACTGGTCAGGGTCTAAGAGTCCCCTCCACTGATCTCCCAAAGTGCCAAGCGAATCAACACATGTTGCATCCTGCCCTCCAGGAGAACTCTCGCCTTCCAGGAGAGAGCCTGCCTTCCTAGAGCTCCATGAATCGAACTCGCGACCTCTGAACTGCCGCAACTAAGAGCCTCGTCCTTTGTCAGTTGGGATGTGCCCGGGGGCGTATCCACACGTTTATATATTGTAAAAGATGCAGATGTAGAAAAATAATATTGTGTACATTTTCAGCAATGAGAAAGCTATTTCTCACAAAGTGAATAGAAGCCTCGATTAGGCCTATTTTTAATCCTTAAAGAAGGTAATTTCTTATGATATAGAAGTAACTGCTAACTGTAATTTTCAACATTGATGGGATCAAAGAAAGCATTTGATGTTTCTATCCCAATCTCTGAGCTGTCTTGATCAACCCCCCAAATGGCCTCAATTAAATTTATATCTGTGCATTACTTAACCTGGTTTTAGTTTCATACAGTGTGAGTTTTTTCTACTCAATAGTATCTTGTATTTAGCCAGATTGGTGTATCTATATTTCATAGTCATGTGAGCATCAAAGTCTCTGTGATTTGACTCAAACATTTCTCTGAGCCCCTCGGCAGTCCTCGTTCTGCAAATGTTGTCAACTTTTTAGAACATTTTCTTTCTACACCTTAGAGTCTAGAGTTCTATGTTAAATGTTCATTGAACTGAATGGTTTATTAGAATTCAAGAAACTTTTTTTTGAGGTAAATTAGAACTGATTTTGTCATTTGATGTTTAGGTTATATGGGTAGAACATGTACGGTATGGTGAATATGCAATTCATCACATTTACAGAGTCTTGATTGAAGATTGCATGGCATTTGGAGCAGCAAGGTGGATAGCCACCTTCCGACAGCAATTGCATCGCAATATCCTCCAAGAAAGTTCTGGTGTGCCCATCGGGAATGATACGAGTAAATCTCTCTCATCTTTTTGTTCAAATTGAAAATAAATCGATCTTTCTTAGTCTTTACATGTGAAGAAGTCTTGACATTTTTCATATTCAGTCATGGCTGCAAATGCACGGAGACACTTGTTAAAGCTAGCCGAGCACATGATGAGAGCCTTTGTGCTGTTTTCTGCCCTTCAAGTGCTCCATATATGGATGAAAATCTCCGTATCACACAACCCGTGCGAGCATGGTTGACTGGGGAGAGCCAGCCGGCACTCTTGTAAGTACCGGAACATCTTAAGCTGATGCAATCCCCCCAAAGTCTCTTTGATTTCCTACGTGAAAAAAACATTAGGCAACAATGGGGCTTAGGCTAATGTCACCTTGCTAAAAGAGTACCATATTGCCACAGGCCATATTTACAAGAAATATCGATGTTAAACACTAACAATTTTTATTTTTTATTTTTTTTTCGAAGAACAATGGATCATTATTATATAGTAATACAAGTTTCTACTACCTTATTTATTGAATCTAAGTACACAGATCAATCGTCATCGATTAAGACATTTTACTAAGATAGAGACTTTCTGCATTTTTTGAGAAATTATTCAAAATTTTACACCATACTAGGTGCAAGCAACGTGCAATGCACGTTTGCGTAGTTTATATTTAATAGTTTTGTTTAAGAATTAATTTGTTATTAATAAAGATGTATTTTTTTTTGGTTAATTAAATAATTAATGATGTAATGTCTATGTAATTGATAAATAATTAGATGTGTGATTTTGATGTTGTGATGTAAGTTGGTGAGATCGAAGAAAATAAGCAAAAGTTGACAAATTTGGAGAAATGGCTAAATTGTAAGGGATCCAAAATTTGGGGACT